TTCAGCTGGGACTATTACTTGGTGTATCGGCATCCGATTCTGATGAACTGATTAGTCAGTTAAGAGATGTGGATGCTTCGAAATTACAAGGTGCTCAATCAAATTTAACACTTACGGTATGAATGAATTTCATATTAAAAAAATTTCAGTAAATTGTACAGTTTGATCCAATAATAAGAGACATATTGTAATTTAGGAACCATTTATGATAAAACTTATGAAAAATATTTATATAGTTCATATCAAATAAACTTTTAATCACGTGATTAAGCTTGGCCGGCACAGCGTTGTCCACTTTTACATATTTCTTATATAAACAATTAGAAAATTTAACAAAAAATAGCATTTTTACTTTTGTGTTGTTACAATTTTTTGTTAATAAGATTTACCTATAAATATTGTATTCTTTAAGGTATATCTTTCAGAATTCCTAAGCTACATCAGATGTTCTTTATTACTAATCCATCCTGTAAATTCGGCTTGCTAAATGCATGTTTAAAATTTCTAGAAAATCGTATTGGAAACAGTCTTGGCTGGTCTTGCATTTGGTCCAGTAACTGAGCTAGAATCAAATGATTCTGTAGTAACAGGCAAATCTCATGAACAAATATCTAACGGAACATTTCAACAGGTTCCTATACTGATGGGTTTTAATTCCAAAGAGGCCGTTTTGCTAGACAATTTCGTAGGTATGTAGACAATAAAATATCTAAATAAACATATGAATGATGAATGAATAATGAAAAATGTATTTTTGTAGACTTTGCCAGACAAATGTATTATATTTATGATATAGCCGCTTATAGAATAGCACCTTATGATTTAACCACCAGTATAACAGACAGATATTTTGTTGGACAAATAAAAATCTTTATAGCTATAACAGCAGCTTAACAAATTACCCAGAAGCATTTACTAACGTAAGTTTGTTACACATTAATATAATATATTAATTAGTCTTATCTAGTCTTTATCTAACTTGTGTGCGTGTAAACCCGTCTATTGAAAGAATTGAGAAGATACGCAACCTAATAGGCAAATCTGTGACAAGGCTGATTTCATTTCCCCTTACGCCTCAAGTGCTGTACGGTAAGGCCACTACTCGTTCTGCAGCCAACGCATAAAACACCTCATATTCTCTAATCTGGCGACATGTCAAAAACGGTGTGGAACTAAAATACTTAATGATCAACAGTGTTGCCATATTAAAATGTGTAGTATCTGCAATACGTCTGACGAAAATATCTTTAGATGATAAACTGTTTTATGTATTAATAATGTATTCGTGTTAAACATAGAATAAAAAAATGTAAAATTTCTTTCATGGTACTGAGCATTTCGTATGATCGAAAAAAGTCGTTTAGTTGGCTTGGAAATGACAAAACTATTGACATTTACCATAATATTTTACATATGAAATAACAGCGATCTTTACTTCCAAGCTAACTCTGTCGCAGTTCTTTGTTTAATCGATTAATTAATTTAATAACATTAATTTAATAAATATTAATATTAAAATAAAGATTAATATTAATTAATATTACATTAATAAGTTTAAATTATTTTATAACAGAAAATCCGTCATTTTATGGTTGTGTTCCTCAAGGATCGGTCCTTGGCCCAACCTTTGGAACATTCTGTATAATAGTTTGCTAGAGACCCGCATCCCAGATGGAATTACACTCGTTGGTTTTGTAGACATCGCCATGGTTGTAACAGCTAGTAGTAAGGAATCCTTGATGAATTTGGCCGACACCGGACTAATGCGAGTAACAAAGTGGATGAGGAGGCAAAACCTTCAACTTGCATCTCATAAAAGTGAAGCAGTTCTACTAACAACTAAATAGGGAAAAATAGCTAGACTATATTTTAATGTAGAGCAAACAATAGTTAATCGAAGTAGTGCCATTAAGTATCTTGGTGTATGGCTGGACTCAAAACTGACGTTCGGAGTACCTATTGCTAAAGCTGTTGTTAAAGCGCAGAAGACGATATTGGCATTGACTAGTCTCATGTCGAATATCAGGGGTCCCAAACCCTCCAATAGACGTATTCTGGCAAGTGTGGTACATTCGCAATTACTGTTTGCAGCACCGGCATGGCATACTGTAACAGAGAATAAAAAACAACTGCAAAAACTTATAAGTGTGCAGAGAACAATATACATCAGAGTTTGCTCTGCATACAGAACAATATCTGGTGAAGGTGCTTGCGTTGTAGCTGGAATTCCTTCAATAGAGTTCCTAATAAAAGAAAGACATGCAACTTACTGTGGGTTGCCAAGGCAAGAAGCCCGAAATAAAATGATTACTGAGTGGCAAAGATGACGCAGAACATACTTTATTTGAATGCCTTACATGGGATTAAATTTAGAAGTCAATTTTTGCAAGATACAAAAAAAGTGTTGAACATAGGAAATGTAGCAAATAGCTTAGTTGACGGGGAAAATGCCTGGGACAAAGTTACAATGATTATAAGATATATTATTGAAAATGAAGAGAAGAAGTCCCAGAAAATCCGTATTATTAATGTATTGTACCCAAAATCCGTAAACCTACGGATTAATCTGTAATTCTGATAACACTGTCTCCTGCAATTATCTTCTCTGGCGACTTAAAGCAGAACTACGGTACAGTTTTCTTTATCCGCTGCACTGTCAACATGCAGCGGCGCAGAGCTAAACTAAATCTCGGACAGCCTAACGGTAACGCCAGCTATATCTCGGACAGATTTTGTGCCACGAAATCGCCCATAAGGTTGCGCATCTTCTTATGTCTTCAGTTAAAGTTATTTTGTCTTACCGGGTTTTGTATTGTTACCTGTTCAGTTTTAATTTAAAAATAGATACAGTTTTTATTAGATTACTTAAAATCGGCTTGTCCAAAATTGTTCAGATTTGGTATGTGTATTCAACACACACCTTTTAAAACCTACTTAGAACTTTACTGTAAAATTGTGTGGCCAATATCTGGACAGTTGGTCAGTTTCTTATTGTCTGGATGTAATAACCCGGTATGTAATACACAATAAAATAAATTATAGCGCTTTTAGATTTTTTCAATTGACCAATTTAATAGACCAATTAGGGAGGCAGTACAGCAATTTCTTAATTACGTTAAAGTTTACTTTTATGAATTTTCCTACGAGGGCGAATTAGGATATCCAGACAGACAATATCCAGGCAAAGGTAAATTAGCCAAAACTATTAAAATGACTATATAAATGTATAAAAAGAAATTATTATGTTATAGGTGTTGGACATGCAGAAGACCTACATTACTTTTTTGTTTCGAATAATTCTGCCACGGATGATGATCTTGAAGTGAGAAGAAAATTGGTGTTAATGTGGACAAATTTTGCCAAATATCTGTAAGTCACATCCAAATGAATTATGTAAATTAGTCTTTTAGGTTAAATTGTCTACCTTTTGATCAATTTTAACTCGGTATCTTGAAATTTGGTATCTGGGAGATTTTCTGGCAAATGTATATTTTTACTCAGTAGTTTTATACAGGTAGGGGCTAAATAGTTATAGTCTTCAAAACCAGTTAAAATATGTAAGTGGCGGCCTCTCCTACAAGTAGAGTCATATTGACATCAAAATCCAAATTTCTCATGTCAAAAACTTCTAGATACCACTTTCATCCGACGTTGTTTCCAGAAATTATTTGGAAAAAATCGAAATAAAAATGAAACTAAGCATTTTATCACATACATTTATACGAACTTCCGGAATAGAGTGCGAACCACCCTGTATATTATTCTTATTTGCCCTTTTGAGGGCTGTAATTTCTTCAGGAAGCATTTTAAGGCATATGTTCATAGGCACTTTTGTTTTATTTTTATCCGTAGAATCTGCCACCGAAGTTAGATACAGTATTCTTTTGACGCTCTGTATATACTATGTATTACTTATAAAACTGGTTCTTAACAACTATTTCTATTAATATTGGCTTTAAAATGATGTTTTGTTGACATGTTTAATTTGTTTCAGAAATCCAACACCCGATGAATCAGTGGATAAACTAGATGGCGTAGTTTGGCCAGCAAACAGCCCAGACACCAATATTACTCAAGGAATCCAATATTTAGATATCAACAAACTATTATCTGCAAGATTGAATCCAGATCAAAGCAACTGGAACTTTTATAAAGAATTTTATGACGAATATGGAATGCCGCCATACGATACGTACTAATGTAAATATTTAATTTTAATATATATTTATTTTAAAAAATACCTACCCTTTATATTTTATTGAATCTACTATTACCATGAATTTATTATACTTTTAGGTATTATCGTGACATATAATCAAGTAATAATGATAAAGAGTAAAATGTTAATTTATTGTAAATCTTTTTAATTAAAAAAATTAAAAGTAAATTACTTTTAAAAGATACCACTTCAAGTTTTGTATTTCTTGAGTATCGATGTCAAATGTCAACAAAAGAAGATATCAGAGAGCAAAGTGGCATGGCGTCTCGAAAGTGGCTCACCCCTATAACTTTAAAAAATATATAATTAGTTAATTTTAAGGGAATTTCATAAATGAACGGTTTACTACACGTATGGGAAAAGTGATTCCATTATTTCCCTCGATTTTTGACCGATATCTACCGCACTCTACACAACCAACTATTTTACAGTCTATTTCGATAAATCGCAATAGTGTCACTGTTAATTTAAGTTCTGCCACAAATAGTAAAATAAATAATAAATAACATAAAATAAGCTTAGTAAAGACTGACAAATCCACAAAACTTCACAACGTCAACGTCTTTTGAATCGTCAAACAGAACTGTCAAGGATCCCTACCCTAGAATCCTCTTTCCGTCGATCTTGCATGCATACATGAGAAGCATTATATATATTTATATTATATTAAAGTTTATTACTAGACCAATTTATACAGATCATTTGAAAAAAAAAATAATTTTCAATATTTGTAAGGCTTAAGGTTAATAAAAATGGGTTTTCAGGGGATAAATAAAATGTGTTTAAACGAAAAGAGAACTATTAATATATTTATTTATCTCTCATATTTTTTATTGCATTGACAGTTTAGTACGTAGTGTAATAAGAGTCATTACCGTACGTATCATATACAGCACCGTAATACTCCCAATCACTTTGAAATGGATTAGATTCTAAAGTTAGTGTGTCGTTGATGTTTAAGTAGTAGACAGTATCAGTTGCGTTAGTTTCTGCAGTATTTGCTATCCAAGTCACATTTTCAAGTACCCCATAATTGTCGAATGATAGTGGATCTCTAAAATATGATAACTCATTATTAATATTTAGCTACATAGTGTTTTTTGTAAAAAAAACACTAATTTTATTTTTTTTTTCTATGTCTCAAAAGTGCTCTCAAAAGTGCTTCAAACCCCTATAACTTTTTCATTTTTTCAGATAAAGAAACGAGATTTGGTATGTTAGTATATAACATAAATTAGGATTTATTGACGTATTCAATTGTTTTTGGTCACTTCCTGTTTCACCGGAAATTATGACAACTTTTGATTTTTAAATGGCATCCTCATTTTTAATCAAGAAGCCTTGGAAAATAGATTTGATTGTCTAATGTTTTTCGTGTCTTGTCTGGCCGGTTAAAAGATGCTCAAATCGTATTTTTAATCTTATCTCATTTTTTTCAAATGAAACAAGGGTGGCTCATTTACATATTTAGAAAAAGCATTTTTTTACGAATAATTTGGTACCACACACTTGGTATTTCGAGTCAAATTGTCGTTATGAACCGCATGTTACAATTTCAAATAAACCATAATATGCAAAAATGTTAAAAGTTGATTTTCGATATGTCAGTCTATTCAAAATGCCATTTTCTATCATATGAAGTAAAAAAAATACCGAGGATGCCATGTAAAAATCATAAGTTGTAGTCATTTCCGGTGAAACAGGAAGTGACCGAAAAGAATTGAGGGGCTTAGAATAAAAGATATATAAGTGACTTTTTGTTCTAAATGGACTTAAGTACAGATTTAGATACTTTAGATACCAATTTATTTAGTATAAAAGAAAATTAACTAAATTCAATATTCTACTACTTAGTACCACCTTTGGTACCACTGTTTAACCCATTTTTACCAATTTACTTAATTCCATTTTATACCAAATAAATTGGTACCTAAAGTATCTAAATCTGCATTTAGAAAAAAGTCACTTGTAGGTATCCCTTTTATTCTAAGCGCCTCAATTGAATACGGCAATCAATCCTAATTTATGTCATATAAGTACTAACATACCAATCCTGTTTTTTTATCCGAAAAAATAAAAAAGTTATAGTTATAGTTATAGAGGTGAGCTACTTTTGAGACCGGTATAATAAACTATTTGTATACAGTCTTATTTATGTACCCTGTTTTAGCAAAATTCGTCCATAACGATACTAGTCTTTGTCGTGTTAGTTCATCGTCATCATCTGCCTCTGCACCAGTATAAAATAGATAATTAAGTTCTTCACTGTGAGCAACACCTGAAAAACGGACAAAATAATATCATTAATCTAGAATCTATAATAAACTGAAATACATAAATTCCTATATTTTTGATATATAAGAAATTTGTGACTTGTTGCCATGACTTTCTTTGTTTTACTGATCATTATTTCAGTAAGGATAGTAAATAGGTAAGCAAAACTCATTATGTTCTGTACTCACTAGGACCATTATTATATTACAGAGCATTGTGATCTCAAAATATATTGACAATCACAAAACAAGAGAAAAGTTAAACAAAACTAGAAGAAAGAGACTTTCTCATGTAGCAAGAAACGTAAATGATTTGATACAGAAAGTATTTGAAACTTTTAATTTCTTATTCAACAAATCTTAATAATAAAAAAAACAATAATTCATACCAGCGTAATCGCGGTCAGATTCTCCTAACTCTCCTTCGTATGAAAATTCATAATAATAAACATCACCATACTGAGACATTAAATTCACTGTTTCTCGAATCGGTCTAATAAACTGGTCGACATTGACGAACTGAAAATTGAAAAATGGTATATTGTTTTATTAGAAGTAAAAATTATGCTTTTTGTGGCGAGGCTGTACATTTGACATTACAGGTGAGATACAAAAGTCATTTTTACTCCGAATAGAACATGCTATTTTTTTCATAGTTAGCAAAACATACATCAAAAGTATTGTGGGGTTTTCGTGTAGTTTCTTTACATAAATAATTTTCTTTTTTGCAAGAAAAATATTTAAATGAATCTGGTACTTACTGTAATAAGATTTGTAGCCTGCAAACTAATAAGACCTATTCCAAAATAATGGAGTCTAATTTCAGTTCCAACCACTGTTCGCGTATCGTCGTTCTCTGTTAAATCGTATGGTGCAAATCTCGATAATTGAAGATCATATTCGAGCAGAATCAATGCCGCTATAGCTAAAATTGTATTATTACATTTAGTTCGTGTTCACACAATAATCATGCAAATACAACAGAAAATTACAGAAATTTACTATGAAGCACCATATACTTTATTCGACAATTATTCGAATTAATAAAAGATTAAGTGAACATGTTCTGCAGTTATTCACAAGTAATCGGACTGCAATAGACTAAAATTTAAAGAAGCTGTTTTTATTCAGAATATTGTTAATACTTCTAGCCATCCCAGCATTGATGTACGAAAAGCTTGAAAATCTTCTTGATGAGATGCATTTTATTTGGCCGTAAGTTCTGAGGAACTTTTTCTGGTATCTTAGACCGTTGGAGGATTTCCATTCCAGGTTACAGATGGAGTCTTCCAGGTTTTTCAGTTCCGCTTTTACTTGGTTTCCGCTTGGAAAACAGAACGGTTCTGGTCCAGTTAGTAGAGTGTTTGCTCTTTTTCTAGCTAGATCATTTGCTTTTTCATTGCCTTCTATCCCTTGGTGAACGGGCACCCAAAGTAGGAAGACTTAATTTTTTTTGTCTAATTTGTTCAGGTTCTCTAGGCATTCTTTGACCAGCTTCGAATAGATGGTTACCAAGTTGATTGCTTTTAGTGCTGCTTGACTATCGGATAAGATTACCATTTCCTGTTTTCGATAGTCCTTATCTAAGATAAATTGTACGCATCTTTCAATAGCGTAGATTTCTGCCTGAAGGATGCTGAGGTAGGTACTGATTGGTTCGGAGTATTTAGTTTCTAGTGCAAATACTCCTATCCCTGTTCATGCTTTGGTTTTCGAAGCATCCATATACCACGTTATAGTATGGTCTTTTACATGCTGAGCAAACGTTTCCCTTTTTCAATCCTTTTTATTGCTCAATACTACAATGAGATGTTTCTCACAGTTGTAAATTTTTGGTATGTCATCCACTGGGAGTTGGAGAAGTGGAATTTTCTTTTTGAGGGTGTTCCAAACCCCTGACCTAAAAATTATCTCTGTACTGTTTCCGTCAATAGACAAGGGTATCAGGGCTTCTAGCATCAGGCAAGAAATGCAGAACACATTCTATGTCAGTACAATAGTCAGCAAATGTGCGGTTCTTTGTACTAGACAATGATAATTACTTAACAAAAATTTAAATTTCAAAATATTCAATTTCCAAGTTTAGGTTCTTAAATTCTCATGGGCTCTTTCACAAAAAATAAAATACCCAATTCAAGGACAAAATCTGAAATAGAAGACTATTTTCAGTATATTTATCCAAAAAAAATAGTTCCATGACATTGAATATTTTTTTATAGGCCCTCAAAATTGCTTTAATTTCAAATAATTTTAAAGTGCCAATTGATGACGTATGAAAAATACGCCCAATCACATTGCAGAACCGTGCTCGTGCGCCAGCCACCAACTGGCAACATTGCGATTTGATTTGACCAGCACCACCTCAACTTAAGGCCAATCAACATGATATGGGCAAGGCAAATATGGCGGCGAAGGCAGCGCATTATTAAATTGTTTACCTTTAACCTGAAAAGCCGGTAGTGGTTTCTCGTTACGATTGCATACTAGAAATAATTAATTATCTCTAGTTTGTTGTGCTTCTGCAACACGTTTGTTTAGTTCTTAGTGTTCAGTGCATAATATGATCAGAAAATTGTGATAAAATAACAGTGTAATAAAAATCTAAACCAAACATTCCACATAGGGAACTTCAAACTTTTGTGCTTGTCGTACTTCTCTATTATTAATTATTTTAAGGTAAGAACTAGAAGTATTTATCAAGATATTACACCTAAATGAGTAAAAAGCCTTCGCTGCCAGTCTGCATAGTACTTTATAATGATTACTTACAATAATCAAAAGATAGGTATTAAAGGGTATGTATTAACATTTTATTATAGCATGCCTTTTACATGCTCTGTTCCAAATTGTTACGGGAATTATAGAGGGGATCCCAAGGTTTCTGCTTTTATATTCCCCAAAAATTACGAGCTTCGTAAAAAATGGTTGACAGCTATTAAAAAAGATAATTTCACTCCTACTAGTAGTTCTCGGGGAAGAAGTGCATTAAATATGCCTCAAAAAAGCCAAAGGCCAAAGCCTCTGTTACCCTAGTCAGGATGTAGTTATGGCTACTGGTTACACTTACCTCACTATAAGTAAAATATTGGAAAAATAATCAAGCTTTTTACATCATAAAAATCACAGAAAGATATTGACAACATTGACATTTGAAAATATAAATGGCCTGGATGTAAGTCTTTTTTTAGGTCACAATTGCCCCTCACATACGTCAGAATTTATTATTAAATCCATCTTGTTCAGAATATCCAATATTTTATTGAAGAACTATGCAAAAAAAGGAATGACGTCTTTACCACAAAGACAATGCCCTATGGAAAGGGAAAGAGTAAAGAAAACTAAGCTACGCGTAAGTTTTACTTACGAACCCCCAAAAAGGTATTTAGTTTTTTTTTCTATATAAAATCTTGAAACACATATTATATTTTTTATTTATCCTCACCTATATTATAGTTTAAATTTATTCCCATTTGTGTAATGCTGCAAAACATAGAAAAAATATTCCATATTTTTTGACCCAAGCCAGTGTAGTTTATAATTCCAAGAGCATTTACCAAGGCTTTTACTAAGACAAGTAACTTTCTATACTGTCCATAATAGTATATATTTATCAAACGTTCAGAGTAAATTCTAAACTATGGTAGGTAAGTGTTTGCAATTGAATATTTAGTTTATATTGCTATTTTCTCTCATATATATTTCTGGCTATTTCTTTTTCCGATGATTTTGAACACCCTATATATGCTACCTCAAGTTTGAATATTTTAACACTACTTGTTTTCTGAGAAAGCAGACCTTTTTATAAAAAGTAACTAACTGATATTTTCATAAAAGTAATAATACAAAAAATTCCATACTTTTGTGGAGAACTTTAGACTCCCTGTATATTAATAAATTAGTGAAATATTACGTAATTTAACCCGACATTTGTGTGAAAAATGTCTATTTGGAAATAAAACAGGTTTTAAAATACGCGCCAAATAAAGCACTTCTATCTCCGCCATATTGGAAAAGGTTGAATGGCTTTGTGTGGAGGTGGTGGTGGGTCAGCATGGTGGCTCGGCCGCGGCGGTGTTGCCGCTTTTCAACATGCCAGGTGTGACGTATTAAAAATAAAGTGCGGATGTTTATTCTGGGCTTTTTTGTTTTTATTTATTTTCTTAAGAACGACTTCAAATTTTTCGAAAGTGAGATAGCAGAAAATTCTAGAATTAATTGCTTTATTCAATTATGCTAATTCCAAAATATAGTGAAAGAGCTCATTCGGTCTAAAACCAATCATTCTAGTGGACAATTAATACAACAACTCACCAACATATTTTGCATATCCTCCTGCTTCGTTTGAATTAAACCCGATAAGTGTAGAAACACTGTTGTAATCTCCAGATTCCAGTATTTCATAACTTCGATCTGTAACAACTGCTTCTGAAGAGTCCGGTTCCTCAACCGGTCCAAAAGGTAAACCTGCCAGTATATCACCAAGTGCATACGTCTAAAATATTTAGGCAGATATAGATATAGATCAACACTTCTAAGCATAGAATAACACAAACTAAGTAATTAACAAATATATATTTGATATCAATTAAACTTTTAGTTACGTTATCGAGGGCGTGATTTTTAAATTCAATGTTGCCAATCATGGACATATTCGGCGCCGGGCTGACTAACTGGAATTTAAATTTCCCGCTGGGAATTCAGGTGGTAGCTCTGCGGTAAAAATGTCAAGTTGCCACATTTATTTATTTATTTCCTGACATTGTCATTCGTTTTGACACTTAGTTTTGTATTACGAGTTTTTGGTTTAAATAAACAGTGTTGTGATACTTAAATCGAATTATCGATAATTTAATAGCCGTAAAAAACTCATCGCAACTTTATCAGGGTATGTTGAACAGAAAAGCGCTAGTAATGGCCCTTTATGTCCCTTAGGTGCTGTTAAGAAGGTAAGTTTTGTTGATGTAAATAATAACTCTTCTTATATTTATAGTTAATTAATTATTGTTTTCTAAAATACTTCGATTAAAAGAAAATATGTAAAAGTGGGCAACGCTGTGCCGGTCAAGCTTAATCACGTAAATAAAAGTTTATTTGATATGAACTATATGTGATTAATTAGAGCGATCACAAACTTACGAAAAGGTATTTCGATAATGTCGCTTTAACTTCCGATATATTATTGGCGTCCAATTTTTTTTTACTTGTTAGATTAACATTGAGTCAAAAAAATTATCAATTATTAGCATTATTAAAATGTATATTTCCAATAATAATAATAATTTAATATGGATATTTAGTAACAAAAATAGATATAGGCTATATGTTTTAAAAACCTTAAGCTTGTTAAATATGAAATTATATCTGGGAAACATCGGATTTTACATTTAATAGCACCATTTTATAAAAAGATAAAAGTGACTACGCTAAAGTGGCATTTATTTGACAAATATTAACATAAATAACAATAAAGCGATGAAAACATAAAGAAATACAATATTTTGTTTTTTTCCAAATATATGATGAGGTATTAGTAGCTTTCTGTTTTCAAAACGTCATTATATTGGACATAGTATTTCAAAAAAATTGTCATAATTGTTAGAATATTGCGGCACCTTGTATAAATATAACTCACCGCTATTGTCACTGTGTTTTCAGCTACTTTCAATTTTTTATAATTTATTTCTCGCAATGAGTCCAATAATGTCTGAGAATCATTTGCACTGACCCCAACTTGGGAGCCAACGTCAAAAGCTTTACTTTCTGCGTCCCGTGTTAGAGCCCAAAGACATAAACTGGAAGCGCTTTCCATAATAGCTCTGGTAAATAAACCTAAAACGATTGTATATTAAAACATGATTGTTATAGACGAATCTTTAGAACAGGGTATTTCCATTTAAATCAATTATGTAGATATTAATTAATTATAGATTATTAATTTAAATTTTTAGTATGCTACCAATCACAAGAGGCGCTTTATTTACTTTCATTTCTTAATATGACAGATAAAGTTCTAAAAGGGGATATTTTGTGATGTCAATGGAAAGTTTACCAGATTGTAAAACATATAAAATATATTTTTAGTTTTTCTAAACTCAGGGAATACCTTCAGTTTGGTTTGTGTTAATCATATACGATACCGATGCAGCTCCAGCACTTTGACCGAATATCGTAATATTTTCTGGATTTCCACCAAAATATTCTATATTATCCTTAACCCACTTTAAAGCTAAGATTTGATCTTTCAGTCCCCAATTTCCTGGTATGACATCATCCTCGGTACTAATAAAATCATAACATAAATTTTTCGTTCGATTATCGTTTGTATAAATTAGACTTATTATTGCTAAGATAAGGTGTGTGTAATTACCTTAAAAATCCAAATACTCCTAACCTATAATTGAACGACACAAAAACAACATCATTATCAAGAAAATAATCGGGTTGTCCTGAGGAATTTGATGAACCCGTGGAGAAAGCACCTCCGTAGAACCAAACCATTACCGGTAAACTTGAATTGAGCTAAAAATTCAATATGCACTATTTTTATTTCCGTAATTTCAAAATATTATTCTTTCCAGTTTCAAAATGCTTGATTCAATGCTGGGTTTTTTACCCCAAATGGGCATTAAAATATTTTACGATCTCTATAATTTAATTTAGAAAAATACTACTGAATGTTTCATGTGAACAGGCTCGCGATTCGGTTCTAGGCCGAACGATGCCGCGTAAAAAGCATACGATATCGCAAATCCGTCTAGTAAATAACATCTGTGATTTCAAATTTTAACTGCCTTAACTCCTCTTATAAACAGCAGACGATATCACGAAATTTGTTGATTGGTTGTTCGTAATCAGCATTCATGATCACAAAATTTCCAAGTGCAAGATGCCTACCAAAAAATATAGTACTAAATATTATTTTGCAAAAAATTAATTTGTCCCTAAACGACGAGTATATAAGTTAGAAAATAATGAAATTATTGGAACACTTTTCCTTAAAAAGGAAGAATTTGAGGTAAGGTACAGAAATTGACCACAGTAATTACTCAAAGCAAATTAACTTAAAAAAAATCAGATTATCAATTAAAACCAAAAAATTAAAGCTAAAATGAATAAAGTTACAGAATGTTTTAAATTTTCAGAAAATTTTACCAAATGTTTAGAGAATAACCAGCTGTACTTAAAAAATACACTTTGTGTAGTTTCTTTGCAGGTAATTTGACTTGAAGATTGTAACTTAATTCCTTCTTGATATTAATTTTTTATAGTTACAAGTACATATCTTTTTTTAAGAACAGTTAGGTATTAGAGATTTACATTAAGTTCTATGGAAAATATATTATATCTTTATTTGGTTTAAGTAATTTACATATGTACGTATGTAAGTTGGATGAAAATAAAATATGTCATTTGTGAATCTAAACTCATCGGTAAAAGTCTTGCATCCCCTTACTATTTTAAAAAAAATTACACTTCAAACTAATTTTTCGTGGAAATCAATAGATGCTAAAGTTATGTAAAAAATAACACAAAAAAGGGAAAACTTTTACCAAGTTTAATAATATATTTTGCCAAAATACAAAAAAATGCAAATTCCGTAAAGAAAAATGTTTGACAAATAATAGAAAATAAATAAATAAATAATAAATTCTGACAAAATTAAGGTTATTAATATAAACTATTGCCTCCTCGATTTGTTATGAGTGCATCAAGTCGTCGGGGCATCCCCACTATAAGGTTGTTTATCGTTTCTTGAGGTAAGTTATGCCATTCCTCTTGAGCGGCAATGATCAACTCCTGATCATTTCTTGGTGGGTTATTTCCGCGAATCTTCTACAGCTTCGGTGATGTACTTCCAGATATTTTCAATAGGATTCATGTCGAGGGAAAGTGGAGGTCAGTCCAGACGATTTCCCCTTTATTTAATGATTCCTGGACCATCCTAGCTCTGTGAGGACGAGCGTTATCATCCATGAAAATAAAATTATTGCCGATTTCTTCTCGCAGTGGATAAATTATTGGTCTGATTACAGTTTCCACATACAAATGGGCGTTCATCACCCCAGGAATATGAATGAGCTATGTTCGCCTATTGTACATGATGCCACCCCAGATTATTCAAGCGATGCTGCCTCCCTGCCTCCCTCCACACTCGCTGGCGATAGTCATCACTGATCAAACCTATCCTGGTACCGTCAGTGAAAATGTCGTTTCTTCACTGAGGTAATAACCAGTTCTGGTGTTCTCTAGCCCACTGTAGCCTCCTTTGTCTATGGTGTAAAGTTAATAGATGGACTTGCAGTGGACGTCTACGCCGCAATCCGGCATTAGAAAGTCGCCTAGAAATGGTTCGGCTTGATATCACTCGGTGGTAAGTTTGTTGAAACTGAGATCGTAGCTCTCGAATTGGAACTGACCGATTTCTTCTGGAAAATTGAGCCAAGTAGCGATCCTGTCGTTCCAGCGTTACCCTTGTTCGGCCCAACCTAGGACGAGATCTTACATTTCCGGTGTCCATATACCGTTGTATAATTTGGCTTACAGTACTTCGCACTAAATTTAAAAGATCAGAGATCAGAGCTGAGACCTTCTTCGGGCCCTATCGAAGGCAGAAATTTTGTGGCCTGGCATTTTTGTCGCCTTTCACAACACTTACTACAAGATTGAACTTGAACTGAGAAACAAAATTTGACCGCAAATAGCAAAACCATACACATTCCATCGATAAGGTTTTCTTTCATTGCTTTTATGACCTATTTTTTGTAGGCACATATTAAGGTATTTGTACACATAGCCACACCAATATGCTATGCAAAGAAATAAATTTATCTGTGGGGTGCAAGACTTTTGCCGATGAGTGTATGTTCTGTTGATTTCTCGACACACGATTTTAGGTTTTACTTTATAGTCCTTGGGAGTAGCAAGGTACAGCTTGCCATCCTAGAGCAGTCGTAGAGTCAAACTCCACAGGAAAAACCTCACTGCATCAATTGAGGCGCTTCTGGACCTTCCGCTTCTTCACTAGTGATCAAGGCGAAGGCAAGAATAAGACTCTATCCATAACAAACTGCGATGTCTCTGAGAAATACGACAGACACAAGACACTTAAAGATGGCGAATTCGATTGGGGAACTCTACTCCAAATGAGATAGGACCAGATGACCCCTCTTTATCAATATCACAAAATATTCAGGGTGAATAAAATGGATCGAGGAATATGGACAGATAAAACATTCCTTTAGGACGAACTAACCTGGTATCAGATAAAGGAAATGAATTTAGATTGGAATGCCCGTCATATAATAATTGAAATTTTTACGAATCAACAGCACGTCAACGTGTATTTTTTCGTACGATCACCAAAGTTAAGCAGCAATATGCGTGGTTGTTATTGGAAGGGGTGGCCCTTTAAAAAAAACCTTTTTTATTTTTAGGTAGTTTAATTTGTGTTGACAAACAAAATTTGCGATTCTGAATGCTGATTACGAGCAACCCATTAATAAATTTCGTGATATCGTCTGGTGTTTATAAGAGGTATTAATGCAGTTAAAATTTGGAATCACGGATACTATTTACCAGACGAATTTGCGATATCGTATGCTGTTTACGCGATATCGTTCGGCCTAGAACCTAATCGCGATCATGGACGTCGTTTACAAATATGCGGCCGACAACGGTCCACTATTGCTAATATACAAAATTATTTATTACTGCATCTAATTCATTCGTCTAGATAAACTAGACCATTACAATTACTTACATCTGTTGTGTATACGTCAATATACAGGCAATCTTCTGATCCAATAACATTGGATTCCGTGGCTATTATCACAATATCTGCGTCCATCTGAGTGCATTTATCATTTTGTCCTGTGGCGTTCAGCACATCAGACCAAGCATCATTTTTAACTGGAGCCTATATAACAAACAACTTTTTTATAACTTTATTTTGGCATTTCTACTTAAGTGTATCATTAGTAATTCTTCAGTGTAGTTCTCTTTAGCTAGATAATACTATATGATCGAGAAAAAACAGCATCCAGTTGGCTTGGAAATGAACATCGATGACATTCCCTATATAAATTTACATACAAAATGACAGCGATCTCCGTTTTATAGTTATCGCTGACGTTTTTTTATCGATCATATATATAACTTCAAGTGTATCAAATAAATATATTAAATATACAAAAAATAACGTACAAGTGCGTACAAGCTTTACCAATTAAACTTTTCGTTGCGTAATTGAAGGCGCGATTTTTAAATGCATTGTTGCCAACCATGATGGGGCGCCGCGCCGGGCTGTGTGAACTGGAATTTAAATTTACCGCTGGGCATTCTGGTGGGAGCTCTGCTGTAAGAAAATGTTGCCACATTTATTTATTTATTTCCTGACATTGTCATTAATTTTTCGACACTTTAGTTTTGTATTACGATTTTGTGGTTTAAATAAATTGTGTTGTGATACTTTAAGCTTTAAAATTTTCACTAGCAGACCTTGCAGTCGAACATTGTTCTTTTTAGAACCTCTTATGTAAAGTGTACAAGAAGAGCTTAATAGCCGTAAAAAACTCATCGCAACTTTATTAGAATATTTTGAACGGGAAAGTTGTAGTAATGGCCTTTATATCCTTTAAGTGCTGTTTAGGAGGTGGGTTTGGTTGATGTAAATAATAAGAACTTATATATTCATAATTAATTCATTTTTGTTTCCTAAAATATTTTGATTAAAAGAAAATTTGCAAAAGTAGGCAACGCTTTACCGGTCAAGCTTAATCACGTGACTAAAAGTTTATTTGATATGAATTATAACACTCAATCGATACACAAATTATTTTAATACTTGAAGAACTGGTAAAGTAAACAAAAGTAAACTCAACAAAAGAAAAGACGAATTTGACATATGATATCTATAAAATGACAAAAATACAATCTACTTTAAAATTAAAATGGCAGACCACAACTGTCAATGTCATATTTTTTTCTCGTTAGACACTCTATAGTTTAGTATTTTACATCTTACTGTAATTTTGCACATACTAAACAAGTAATTATACTTATCAGTAATAATAGTACAAAGATAATGTATTATTATTTTCAGCCGTAAATATAAATATTGTGCGAATTTTAAACAACAATCTAAAAGAAAGACAATAAGAGAGATATTTAATTAATTCAAAAACAAACATTTTATATAATTTTCGTAGACATATTTGTGTTATCTCGACAAGCGTCAAAACGTTTATCGGCAATTATTTCACAAATTCATTGAAATTAAAATGAGACATTTATTTTTATAATTTAGGTTTAGTTTTAATAGTAATACCATAATAAGCCTATTAATTACCATCCCGTGATTTTTTAAACATAGATCAAATAATACCCGACGATCTTTTGCACGTTTTATTAATCCTTAAGTAAATATTCCTATAATTCAATAAATCTTTGTAGACACTCAGACAGACAAAATTTTATTTGTGTGAAATTCAAAACTTAGTTTTTGAAAAGAAAGGATTTTCTACATGTAGGTACAGCTTATGATAGATAAATTAGCTTTAGGATCAAAAAGGCGGTGATTTTGACACCTAAGAAAATTATAATTAATTAATTATAAATCTCTCATAAAAAATATCTATCTCTCAAAATGTTTCTCGTTTATTTTCAATGACCAAAGAATACAAGGACATGTAACGTTCATATACGGACTGCAGCAGAATTTGTTACATTAGACGCTGTAGCGTGACTTCTTTGAATACTCCCAAATATATGTCATGTCAACTTGACGCAATAATGAATAAAGAGACAATCAGCAAACTGCCAACCGTCGTATCCCCAGCACCCCTTCACCCATGCCATCCCTCATAAAATACCACAGATGCCATCATTTTGGAGCCTACGGATGAGTCATCATCTCGTCAACAGCGAAAATTTTAGCGATTTTTAATACGATAATTTGTTGTCTGTAGTGAACTTTGTATAAAGTTTATTATAATGGGAACGTATTCAGCTTTCAAGTGCGTGTCAAAGTTGTGTCAAAGCCGCAACGATAAGAAAGAGCCAGGAGTTGCATTTTATAAGTAAATAAACAGTCCACTCCACCTTTTTGGCGTTTTCTTATTGAATTTGGTAATTATTTTTCTGATACTATATGTATTTGATATGTGCTATACATTGTTAACATTTTAATACGTTTTTTTTTGGCATTAATTAGTATGATACCACCGCCTACACCATAGGCGTAGTCAAAACATTTATCAAAAATAGAAATATCCCTTCAAGCAGTCAAGTTAAGAAAAATATATGGCCACGGCACTGTTTGGTGCCATGTGTGCCATAACAATTTGGTCTCGGTTGTTATATGTCCTTGTATTCTTTAGTCATTGCTTATTTTAGTCAGTTTTACTGTAACAATCTGACTGGACAATTCAGTGAAACTGAACGAATAATAAACGTTGATTGAGATAGTTGATTTAGGCAGATCGAATATATCGATTTTCGTTAACTTATAACCCAAATTTCAACTTTATGATATCCAATGGTTATTCAAAATCATTATTTTGTCAATTTTATACATATTTTATTTTTGAAGTGAAACTTTTTTAGGCGCTATAGGAGTAAAAATTAAAGGCCCTGACACACGAGAGGCGTCAGGAAAAGTTGTAACGATGGGACGTTATACTGCAATGGAGCGTCGTAACTCGGGCCCTATGATGTTAACTAGGGAGCTAAAACTCGGAGTGTACACGAAGCTCAAAGAGCCCCATCTTTTTATGATATTTTGACAACGTTTTGTGTACTATGAAACTTCATCATCAATAAATCAAATAAAAAAATCGTCCGATTTAAATGAAATTTGGTATGTCGATAGATTGGACCTTTGGATTGGACCAAGACCAACTTGACCGTGTACGACACGTGCCACTATGAGAGTTAGTTGTCGTTTTGACGTCAAAAGTTGATGTCATCCGATCGCGACCAAATTTGGTGGGTAGCTATGTGAGCGACGGAATTGCAAAGTTGGATACAACGTTTTGTTTACATCTTCATCAGGATAGGACTAACGATTTGATATTAAAGAAAAATGTGGGCCAATTTTGGCATAATTAGGAATGGGTTACAGGATGACGCACTTGACGTTTCGAACCGATGACTCTAAATAGCATGGCATCTTAAAGGAAACAAACAAGATCAAAAGCATATTAATCTGTTGCTGAAATGAAGAACCTAAGAACCATAATGGGGAAGACTAGAAGAGACAGAATTAGAAGAGCAAATATCAGACAACAATGTGGACGTACAGGACGTAGTGAGATGGGGTAGGCAAAGAAAAACAATGGTTCGTACACGAAAAACGCATGGAAGAAAACAGGCTACCAACCACGCATAGGTCTTGAAGGGAAACCAATGTGTAAGAGACAGTCGGGAAGACCTCCAAAAAGATGGAAAGACAGTTGGCAGTCTATCTCCCAAGAACTCCTACAGAGGCAACCATAAAATTAACAGATCGAAAGATCTCCAATAACTAAAAGAAGAAGAAGCCTCTAAATCAGGGTTTCTTTAAGTGTGGTCCACGGACCCCTTAGGTGTCCATAGCATGTGTATCAGGGGTCCGCGGTCCGCATTACGCCAATTAACTGTAAACATATTTATTAAGAAAAGAAATAGTGTAGGGCGGCGAATTCAGTAGGTAATTACTAAACAGTACGCAACGCGCGTAAGGATAAAAAAAAACAAGTTGAAGCTGTTCGCTTATCAAACGATGTTATCCATTCTAGAATTGTTGAAATGTCATCAAATGTTTTACAAGTTGTTGAAAAATTAATTGCTTCACCGTTTCCATTCAGCATTCAATTGGATGAAAGCACCGGTGTGCCACAATGTAGCCAACTCTTGGTATTTGTCCGTTACGTACAACAAGACACACGTAGTATTAAAGAAGAGTTTCTTTTTTGCAATTCACTTTTGGAGACTATAAGAGCTTCAGATGTTTTTGGAATGACAAAAAGGTTTTTCAACCAACAAAATTTATAGACTAGAAGACTAAACTTGATAGTATCTGCACCGATGCTTGGTAATACCCGCAATGCTTGGTATCCCGCAATGCTTAGTTTCGCGGCTTAGGTCAAGAAAGATATCCTTCATGTCATAATAACTCATTGTGTCTTACATCAGCATGCCTTGGCTTCACGGACTTTATTTACATTTCTGAAGGAAGTTATGTCCACATATGTCAAAATAATTAACTTCATCAGAGCAAGAGCCTTAAACCACCGCGGCACCGCCTGTTTAAAAGACTTTGTCAAGAAATGGGGTCAGAACATGAAGTACTGCTTTACTACACAGAAGTTCGTTGGCTGTCGAGGAGACAGGTCTTAAAGCGATTGTTTAAGTTGAGAACAGAAAGTGTTACTTTTTCTTAAAGATAAAGGAAATTCACTGTCTGAATATCTTGAGAGCGAATATTTTGTACTGGTGCTAGCGTATTTGGCAGATATATTTACTCAAAAGGTTTCATATGTAAACTGCCACTTTGGACATGGAGGGTGGAATCTGGTAAATTTTCCGATGTTTGAGGAGTTAATAGCACAAGGTGACGGCAACACGATATCCAAAGTCTAAGCATTTGGATACATTGCAAGCTTCTTTTGAAGGCTACTTAACTTCAAAAAAATGAAACGTGGGTGTGGGGTCCATTTATAATCGACACGGATAATATCAGCGATGAAGATCTCATTAAAGATGACTTAATTGACATGAGATCAAAAGAAATTTTGAAAGCTGAATTTCATGCAATAGATCTTGAGTTTTGGCGTTCTTTAAGTCAAGCTTACCCTCTTCTTGTCAAGCGAGCTATTCGTTCTGATAACATTTGCTACTACGTACCTTTGCCCCGAGGCAGGGTTCTCGGTTCTGATCTCAATAAAAACAAAAAGTCGCAACCGATTGAACGTCGCAGATGATATGCGCCTTGCCTTGTCGAAGATGACCCCTACAATTTAACGGTCTCATTGAGGCTAAACTAAATTTTGTTGGTTCCTTCTCACTAATTTACTAGTGTACGTGTAATAAATCTACTAATAAACGTTTTCTTTTTATGTAAATAAGGCTTTTTTTTTGCTCTATTATTTCTGATAGGGGTCCGTGGAATGGTACAAATTGCGAAAGTGGTTCGTGACTGCAAAAAGTTTAAGAAACCCTGCTCTAAATGGAAGAAATCATCAACATTTTTCTTAATTATGGGTCGATTGGTACCAAACTCGGCAAGTGGATTACTTACCTTGGAGTCCTCAGACGGACAGACGGTTATTTTAATACAAATTTTGTGAAAGCGAATCAAATGATTTATTAATTTTTAATTTATTACTTTTTCACAATTTAAAACTACACTTTTTCAAGATTGTCCTTCAAATCCTTCAATTTAATAGCTGTTAGTAAGAAGTTTCAACACACAAAACCAGATCACTGTGTAGCGATTAAAGGAAAATTATTCAGTGTAGACTATAGTTTTTGCAGAAAGCCGGATTTACTTAAGTTATCTTACACTTTAGAATAATATTTGCTTTTTTGGAATAATACTTGCTAAACAAAACTAATCATACTAAAATACGCTATATTTCTTTACAAGGTAGCCCAAAACAAGACTTAAGTATAATTTTCAAATTATTTGGCTAAACTGATAAAGGCTAAATAAACAACTTACTGCAAATCTTAGATCTCCTACTGGTGGCTGTGCATATGGTATACCTTTATAGGCATAATATGTTTTATTTTCACCAATGGTTTGATTTTCTATACCTCTTACTTGACCATCAGGTATAGTCACAATAGGACTATAGTCCTAAAACAGAACAACTTAATGTTATCGTTAAAGTGTTTCGTTGGCTTTATACATGAGCTAGATAGTTAACAAATTATTTAAATGTCTGGATATATTGGTGGGATATTAAACAAAGCCGGAAATCACTTTTTCACATAAAAAAGGTTTTCCGTCAAAACATTTACACCGGGTGCGTCTCAAATGTGGCTCACCCCTATAACTTTTTATTTTTCAGAGAGAAAAAATCGAAATTTGGTATGTTGGTATATGACAAATTAAGATAAATTGTCATATTCAATTGTTTTCGTTTACTTCTTGTTTCACCGGAATGACTTCAACTTTGATTTTTAAATGGCACCCTCGGTATTTTTGTTACTTTATTCGATGAAAATGACGTGAATAGAATGATATATCATATGTCAACTTTTGACATTTTTGCATATAGTTTATTTAGAGGAGTAGCAACATGCCATTCATAAAATGCTTCTTCCAAATATTATAATATGCTAATGAGCCGCCATCGTTCCATTTGAAAAAATTGAAATATGATTAAAATACGATTTGGGCATCTTTGCTCGACCAGACAAGACACACTAAAAACATTAGACGATAAATCTATTTTTCCAAAGGCTGCTTGATGATTAAAAATTAGCATTTTAATATAGCCATGGCACCTATAGATTGAAATTTAAAATACAATTTTGTTTTAAACGAAAATGTTAAAGTTAACATATGATATGTCATTCTATTCAGAGTGTCATTTTGTATCGAATAAAGTAAAAAAAAACAAAGTGTGCCATTTAAACATCAAAAGTTGTAGTCATTTCCAGTGAAACAGAGGAAGTGGTCAAAAACAATTGAATACGTCAATCAATCTAATTTATGTCCTAATACTAACATACCAAATCTCGTTTTTTATCTGAAAAAATAAAAAAAAGTTAAGGGTGAACCACTTTTGGGAAACACCCAGTATACGAAGCTGGTTGAGCTTCTCCGGATTGATCTATAATTATCCAAAAACTTTATAAATGATTAACTCACTATGCAAGAAACGTATTGGAAAACGTAAACAACACTAAATACTAAAATACAGCTCCAGAAAAGACGCATTTTGAAAATTGGATCTTACACTACTTTTGATCTAAAGAAAGGCCTACACAAAATAAATTTATAGGCATTCTTCTATATTATCTATATGGATGTTTCATATATGTGTCAATATTTGTTAGTCTACCGATTTACTTAGTTCGTATTTGGATATTTAAGACACTAGTAATAAAAGTATTTGTACTATACAATAGAGACAATAAAATTATGAACGGAACATTTTTTCCTATTAGTTGTAAACTAAATATTCCATACAAAAGCTAATTTACATATAGGGTGTAAATAAATACTTTCCAAAAAAATGGTGGTGACTGTACTAGTTCATCAATATCGTAGTCTAAAATGTTGTCCGTGTCTACTACATTTTTTAACAAATAAAATATGCCTAAAAATATTCCTAAAACATTATTTTTTGATTAGAACCATGCCTCCTTAGCATTTTGTGCTGACTCAACACATACCTAGTTAATTTTAAGAGCGAAATGAACTTACCACAAACAATTTGCAATTTTTCAACTATCATTAGTTTATGATGTTATTTTAATATCACGCTGGCTTTTATGACTATTGTCGTAAGGTCATATCGACACTGATTAGAACTCTATATATTAAAATTTAAAAAAAAACGTTGAAAAGTAACGACACAGGCTTGGTTTTAATAAATATTAGTAACATTAACAGAACTAAGGTGTGCAAAAATAAATGTAATAACTAAGTGTCCAAACAAATAAAAAACTCGTAAAATACTCTAATACTTTGTATTGCCTCCCCCGGCTGTTATAACTTTATGTCAGTTCATACTGTTAATGAGGCCGTAAATATATTGCGTTATGTTTTCCCATTCTTCTCTTCTTTTCTCTTCTTTTCTCTTCTCTTCGACACTAAGAACCATATTCAATCGTACACAACACTAATCACCAAAACTACCTGGTCATTATGAAGGATAACATCAAAAAGTAACGATAATTGAAAAAATTGCAAAATGTTGGTGGCTAATTCATTTTGCTCTTAAAAATTAACCTTAACAAAATATTCAGGAGATACAGTTCTGACCGAAAAATAATGTTTTAGGACAATTTGCTGACAGAAATTATTGCACAGGGTGTTTAAAGATGAGGTAAAAAGCAACTTTTCAATTAACCTTGCATATTAAGTCAAATACTAAAGTTTATAATAATTTGAGTATACGAATTAAAGTTGATATATTTATATTATAGTAAAAAATCAAAATTGAGCTAAAAAATAAAAAATATTGAAACATTTTAAACTTGAAGAATTTTTCCGTTGCGTTTTTTTTGCTTCTGAGTCTAGATATAATATCAGCAGGGAACACTATAAATAAAAAAAATGATTATTGATAGTATTTAGATTATGATAGTAAAGTAGAGTAGATTAGATTATGACAGTAAAAAATTAATTATTTTGTAATACAACCCTGTCACTTCCTGATTCTTTTCTCACTGATCCATTTACACCCTGTATATATCAGAGCAAATGATATTTTGACAAACAGTACATTTGAGCTTTGGTTTATTTTCAATTAAGCAAACAAAATCATTTATTTTATGTTAAAACAATTCAGATGACACGACATTCCAGTCTATTTGTATCAATTCGTAGTAAAAATATAAACTTATAATACCTAACCATTTATGGATTTTAGTTAATATGATAACTCCATTAGTTTTAGCTGATTGAAGAATTCTTTCAATCTACGGTTTTAGTCACCAAAACAGTAAGATTACCAGCTAGTACTAAACAGAATAGACTCTCTATAACTTTACTTGTAGTGTAATTGTGAGGTTATTAGTCTAGTCAAATTATGTATTTTTCTGAGGAAAGTTTTGATGTAGTTCTGATTTATTTTGTTCTTTATGTTTTTGGCGCGCTAAATACGAATCTGATGTTTGCTAACAATTTTTTTTCATGAAACATCCTGTACAGAGTAATATCTGTACAGACTTGTTCATTATTGCAAGGGGTTTTACTTTTTCACTTCATTTAAATTTCATAGTTTATTAGTATTATATATTTTAATAAAGCACGCTTTTAGATGTTTCAAAAAACTTTTAATAAGAGTAACTTTAACTCTACATATATGTTTCGGCTTGTTAGGCCTTTTCAAGGATTTTTTATAATCGCCTAACTACACTGTAACTATATATATATTTACTATGGGGTTGGGTTCAGAGAGTTTACAATAGGGGTAATAAAAAATGTGTTTAGAAATCCTTGTTGGTCGTTAACATTATTTTCGTTTTTAACAGATTTTAGTATTTCTAACTGTTCAATGTAATTTAAGCGTCTACCTTTTGTTTCTCTGTGTAGTAACTTAATTGAGGTTTCATTAATTTTGTGATTATTTACTATACAATGAGTTGCAAGACCAGAGCTATGCTGGAGATTATTAAATAGACTTTACATGTTCTTTAACCCTTATATCTAAATTTCTACCTGTTTGGCCTATGTACACGGCATCACAACCATTGCAATCCACCCTATATACACCCGACTTATTTTTGACATTAGGTTTGTCTTTATTATTTAATAAAATTTGACCTAAATTTCTTTATTTACGTTAATAGTTTTACATCTTATTTTATTGAGATTATTTGATATTTTGTTAGATTAAATTGAGGAATGTAGTTTAAAAGTCGATAATTATTATTGTCTTTAGAATTAGCGGAATAAAAATTTTTCATTAATATTTTTCTTTTGTTTTCTTTAGCATATTATCAATAAGGGAACACTTATATCCATTGGTGATGGCAATTTGTTTAATAATAATTAACTCTTTTTTAAAATTCTCTGGGCTCAGTGGAAACATTACTAATCTATGAATTAAACTATGAAAGGGTGACATTTTGATTTGCCAGGATTCATAGTTTAAGAATTACCACCCATAATGCGCTCTATACTTTTCTCTTTTAACAAATAATGACAGTGGATTCTTTCATCTGCAACTATACATGTACTTTTATTTAGGCACATTTTATATATGTATAATATAAAAATTTTATTTTTTATTATCCTGCCCTTAACTTAACAAAAATTATAAAAAAAATATATGTACTTAATTTTTTTATAGAAAAATTATTTACAAAAAGTTGATATTTTAAAGTTATAAACCAAAAAACCGCTAAAAATCCGCCTGCCACATAAGCATAGTATTTTACTCGAAAATACACACTGTTTCAATGTTTCAAAATTAAAATATCTTCGTAGAGATATTAATGCAAATTTATAATTCTGGGTATACTATACCAAGTAACAACTATATAAACGTACAATAGTTAACTCTCTATGGATTAGGATCAATAAAATGTATTTAAATAAATTTAAGCCTAATGTGAATAGCTGTAGCTGCGCTAACGACGTATCCAGATTATACGATCTAGAATATAGTGCCAACAATCTAGAATATACAAAAAACCAGACCTAAACAATTTTCAATTTTGAAGTCGGCACAATAACCTTTGGGTGAATAACTGATATTTAAAAAAAGATTAGATAAGAAAATTATATTAACAATCGGTTATTTTAATATCTTCTAATTCCTATGCATATTTTACTAGTATGCTTATTGCTTTTGAATTTAGAGAGGAAATGCTAATTTCTGGTCCAGATAAAGCATTTCTCAAAACAAATTACAATTAAATTAAAGAAAAGAAAGCTTGTTAATCCAAATCCAATAAATCAAAAGATCAATTTCAATGATCGAGCTATTTGTATCTGATCGGAAATCAATCCAAAAGTATATTTAATTATCGAATTAATGTATTTTGACTTTTTATTGTAACATAACCTAACTACAGTTTACTAAAATTTATTGAATATTTAGAAAATTACCTGTAAACGCCACAAATGTTTGGGAGTGATTTATCGGTCGCTACCATGTGAACTAACCTGTTCAAGGTCACATAAAACTTAATTCCAGTGCCGTGGTGTTTCAAGTCATTATAATAATCAATATAATCTGTTGTAATTTGTTGTTTTTAACTGTCAAAGTCTTGTCAAAACAGGGTCAAAACCTTTGAATAAAGACTAAGGAAGGGCATATCAAAAATCTTAAGTACACCGCGATGGGCCTCAAATATGGCCGACTTAAATTCCGGTTTATCAGTGCCGTTCTAATTTTATTTAAAAAATGTAAAACTATGATGTAGGATAGACATTAGGGGTGAACTCAATAATTTGTTATTTTATTTTTATTTTTTTTTTTTTTTTTTTTTTTTTATTATTAAAATTGTTATTAAAATATATAATTCTAATAAAAATAGATAGTTATAATAAGTATTTATTAACACAAATATCCGATACACTACTGAAGGTACGTAAGTCAACTTAACGTATTGGTATCTAAATTCTTTGACATCTAATCTTTGACAAGTAATAAATAAAAGCTAAAATGCAAGAAAATATATAATTTAGTTAATTTAAGTGAATTTCATAAAAGATCGGTTTTGCACTATACGTATGTATATTATATATAGTCACTTACTAGCGAAAAGTTGGTCCATTATTTCATTCAATTTTGCCGAGATCTACCACGCTACACAACCAACTTTTTTAGAGTCTTTTTCGATAAATCGCGATAGTGTCACTGTTAATTTAAGTGCTGCCACAACTTCCATCTAGATTTACTACCTTCATACAACTATCAGTAGTAGAATAAATAATAAATAACAAAATAAACTCCGTAAAGACTGACAAAATCCACAAAATTTCAAATCAAATTCAAATGTGTCAAATGAATCGTCAAAAAACAGAACTGTCAAATATCCCCACCCTAGAGAGCCTTTTCCGCCCACCATGCATGAATACATGGATAGCATTATGCTCCTTCCTTAGTCTTCTTATTCAAGGGTCGCTACCATGTGAACTAATCTGTTCAAGGTTACATAAAACTTAATTCCAGTGCCGTGGTGTTTCAAGTCATTATAATAATCAATATATAATCTGTTGTAATTTGTTGTTTAACTGTCAAAGTCTTGTCAAAACATATATTTGGTTATAAATATAAAATGGAATGCCCCATTGGTCGCACTGCAAGCACACCAATGGACTGACGCACAAAAACGAATCAATCAAAGAAACGCGATATAGTATCGTCTTTGTCAATCACGCTAACATTTTAGAATAAGTCTCCTACTTATTATATATAGCGCGCGTGTCGATTCTAACTTCATCAAGCGATGAATCACTCCCAAACATTCGTGGCGTTTACTATACATATACTAGCTGAAGCCTGGCGCATCCGCCACGACATCAGGAAAAAAATACTTTATTTTTTTAATTAAATGAAAAACAAAAATACGGCGACGACGGTTTTTAGAAGAGCCTTGATTAGCTATCTTTTAGTAAAAAAAGCAACTTTCTAGAGCAAGTCGTTACTTCAGTAGAGACGACACAGATAAACATTAGCATTTTATATATGTAGATTTTTTAATATAATTAATATTTGTAACGTATTGATAGTAATATAGCCTTAACATTTAATTCATACTAAATTATTGTACAAAATTATGTGTGGGTTTGTTAATTTAGTGTTCATCACACAATTAAAAACATGCCTATCATACTCTGTGACATTATGACAAAAGTTCACAAAAGTTATGTGAATTTGTAGAGCTTGAAAATGTGGATTTATTTATATAATATTACGTATACTATGGTAGTAATCTTTATTTCCCAGCCCACACCGACGATGGTTTTTTTTTATATTATGGCATGGCTCTTCTTTAGAAAAATTAAGAATTCGTGCTAATGAATAACATTGGTAAAAAACACAACTTTTATTATTAATATGTTTATTTGTTTTAATTTTTAATGTAATAACAGTTTAATATGTTGTGTAATAAGATTCATTTCCGTATGTTTCATAAATATCTTCGTAATACTCCCAGTCGCTTTGAAATGGATTAGTTTCTAAAGTAAGCGTATCGTTAATGTTTAAGTAGTACACAGTCTCAGTTGTATTAGTGTCGGCAGTGTTCGGTATCCATGTCACATTTTCAAGTACCCCATAATAGTCATATGAAAGAGGATCTCTGAAATAAAAAAAAAATAATTATTATTTTATTATAATTATTACTTTGTTTTTTTTTATCGTTTATTTATATACTTTTATTATTAATATTATAATTAAAGGTTTTAGATTTTATTTAATACACATGTATTACCCCGTTTTTGCAAAATTTGTCCATAATGTTACTAGTCTTTCTCGCGTTAGTTGATCTTCATCATCTGCTTCTGCACCAGTATAAAATAAATAGTTAAGTTCTTCTCCATGACCGACACCTGAAAAATAAATAAAATACTATTAGCATTTATAAATCCGTAATAAATTAGGGATAAACTCATCGAGTTAAGTTATCGGTTAAAATTAGATCTAATTTTAACCGATGACTCACTCGTGTTGTGATTTTATTTATATTTTAAATTGTAAAAGTTCTAAATGTGTTTCTTATTTGAATTTTAAAATGTTGTTGTTAACGGAAATGATGTTCTACGTTTGTGATTCTGAAGAAGACGAATTAAAATTGGTCGAAACATCAATTATTAAACAAAAGTGAGAGGTTCGTCTTATTAACTAAATACTACTGACTTAAAACCAGGGTTGGAAAAAATCATGATTTTTTTAAAAAAAATCAGATTTTTTTAATTTAAATCAGATTTTTTTGATTTTTTTGATTTTAATAGAAAACATTATTTAAATCCGATTTCCAAATAATTAGGACTCAATTCCAATTAAATTCCTATCCTAATGGCTAAATCTTCATAACTCTACCCGCATACTGACAACCCATGTCATTTTCCCAGACATCGGTCACGAATATATTCTGCAAAAAAAGTCGCTCGCTTCAGATCATAAGGATTTTTTTTGAAATGCCACAAGTGTATTATTTTTGTAATTTCAACGCCTAGACATAAAAAGTAAAGACTTTTACGCCTAAGCACAAAAGTACCAAAATATATTATTAAACTGATATTAAGCGTCAATTTCAACGAGTGTACAAATTGTTACTCGATTACTTACAAGGCATTACTTTTTATATTATTTGCAACGTTTGAAATTGATTAAAAGATTATTTGTAATGTTTAATTTGTAAAAATATAGTATATTCTATTCGGAGTAAAAATGTACTTTTGTGCGTCCCTGTTTACGCTATATAGTCCGTCAAACGTACAACCTCGTCAAAAAAAGTATAATTTTTACTCCTTACACAATACAATATTGTTCGGAAATAGTCTTAAGTCGAGAATGAAATTAGTATTATCTATTGTCAAAGTGTAAAATAAAAAGATATAAAACAGCATATTTTCTGACAACGATTTGAAGATATAGTCTAACATGAAAAGAACCTTTTTCTGCACTAGAGGTTGCGAATGGAATCTATTCGAACAGCATTTTTTTGTCACTTGTACATAAATTTCAAAATAAATCCCTGCCCTTTAGAAGTCTAATGGATTCATACGAAATTACTTCAAAAGTCGGTCCAACATTTTAATTGCTGAATAGATATGTAATAGAATAGGTATATGTGTTATACAAATAATTTTTATATAGTTTTATAACATTTACAATTTTTTTTCGATTTATTAAACGTATTTGAACGTTACAATAGTAAGTGTAACATTTCATTTAACGAATAGATATAGGGTATATATGTTATAGAAATATTTTTATAGTTTTCTAGGACACATTTTTATAACTTTTACAATTATTTTTCGATTTATTGTAAAGTTTTAAAAAAGTTGATTTTTTGATTTAAATCACATGATTAAAATTAAAAAAATCACTTGATTTAAATCATGATTTAAATCATTTTATTTAAACCATGCCAACCCTGCTTAAAACCAAGATTGAAAAAAAAAATTTTATATATATTTAATACCAATTAAACTTTTAGTTACATAATCGATGGCGCGATTTTTCAATTCATTGTTGCCAACCATGGACATATTCGGCGTCGGCGCCGGGCTGATCAACCGGATTTTAATTTTTCGCTGCTGTAAAAAATGTTAAGTTACCACATTTATTTATTTATTTCTGACATTGTGCGTTTGGAGATAGTCAGCCACAGCCGCTTCCCTGAACGCACACATTGTCATTCGTTTTGACACTTTAATTTTGTATTACGAGTTTTTCGTTTAAAAAATAGTGTTGTGATACCTTACGCTTAAATATATTTACTAGCAGGCCTTGCAGTCGAACATTGTTCTTTTTAGAATCTCTTTTAGTGCGAAGTGTACAAGATCGCTTAATAGCCGTAAAAAACTCATCGTAACTTTATTAGAATATTTTTAACGGAAAAGCGGTAGTAATAGCCCTTTATGCCCCTTAAGTGCTGTTAAGAAGAGGAGTTTTGTTGATGTAAATATAATAACTGTTAAGGTATTTATAATTTATTTAATTTTGTTTCCTAAAATATTTTAGATTTTAATAACATCTGGTAATCTTAGATAGAAGATCTTAATAATTAAGATGTTCTATCGAAGATTACCAGAATAGCAACACAAAATTTTGTATTGTATATATCTGATTACAATTGAGGGTTGGAACCTTTGGTGTTACACAGCAAAATAAAAACACTAAATCACCACAATACACCAAAACACTTTTACTTTTACACTGGACGCGCGAAAATACCTGGATGCTAACATGGTTAGCGAAACGCGTGTCCAGTGTAAAAGTAAAAGTGTTTTGGTGTATTGTGGTGATTTAGTGTTTTTATTTTGCTGTATATATCTGGTAATTCTGAATAAATATCACTAATTCATACCTTCGAAATCACGATCAGAATTTCCTAAATCTCCTTCGTAGGAAAATTCATAATAATAAACATCACCATACTGAGACATTAAATTAACTGTTTCTCGAATTGGTCTAACAAACTGGTCGACATCGGCGAACTGAAAATTAAAAAATATATTTATAAAGTTAGTGACAAACATCACACAAATCATTATCAATACACAAAAATATATTATTTCGTACGTTTTGTTCTTTTTGTGTTTTTTTTTGCTTTAAAACGAGTTTATTCTTACCGTAATGAGATTTGAAGCTTGCAAACTAATCAGCCCCACTCCAAAATAGTGAAGTCTAATTTCAGTCCCTACCAATGTTTTCGTTTCGTCATTGTCTGTTAGATCATAAGGGGCAAATCTCGACAGTTGAAGATCATATTCCAGGAGGATCAAAGCCGCTATAGCTAAAACAAATATGACATTCAGTTTTGCTGATGATTGAATTTAGTTTAGAAGTTGCACCTTCAGGCATAAGATATATTAATATAATGGGTTATAATGAGGCTTTCAATAATATATCCATCCCTGGTATGGTGACCCAAAGTAGTGCAACAAACAACAATGCCCAGCCTCAGCCAAATGCAAATACATAAGAGAGGCAATTAAATCAACGCCCACTGCAATAGAGTCGTTTCTGGACCTTCCGCCTCTCACATAGTGATCCAGGCTGAAGCAAGAATGTGACTTTATCGACATCAAAATGCGCTGTCTCTGGCGACTAAAACAGAAACAGAACACTTAAAGATGGGGGAATCCATAGAAGGACATCTACTACAAATAACATCCGATCAAACGACCCCTCTTTATCACTACCACAAACCATTCGAGGTGAATAAAATTGATCGATTAATCTCGACAGATACAACATTCCTTCGACGAAGGATTGGAAGAGCGAAACGCTTGCCCAGCAGTTAAAAGACCATACCATAACTTGGTATACTGATGCTTCCAAAACCAATACGGGAACAGGGATCGGAGTGTTTGGGCCGAGAGCTAATTACTCCGAACCAATGGGCACTTACCCTAGTATCCTACAGGCAAAAATCTACGCTATCAGAGATGCGTACAACTTATCTTAGATAGGAACTATCGGAAACAAGAAATAGCCATCTTATCTGATAGTCAAGCAGCGTTAAAGGCGATCAACTCAGTCTCAATCAATTCGAAATTGGTCAAAGAATACATAGAGAAGCTGAATAAATTAGGCAAAGAAAACAAAGTCCTCCTACACTGGGTGCCTGCTCACCAAGGGATAAAAGGCAATGAAAAAGCAAATAATCTAGGTAGAAAAGGAGCGAACACTCCACTAACTGGACCAGAACCGTTCTGCTTTCCAAGTGGTAACCAACTCAAGGAGGAACTCAAGAACTTGGAAGATTCCATCCGCAACCTGGAATGGAAATCTTGCAATGGTCTAGGACACTCGAAGAAGTTTCTGAGGGCTTATGATCAATAAAAATCACAGATCTTCCTAGGTCTGAGTAAGAACAATCTTCGGATTGTCACGGGGTTTTTAACAGGACACTGTCTCCTCAATGAACACCTCAGTAGATTGAAACTAAGAAGAAACGGCGAGATGCAGATTCTGTGGGGAAGATGGGGAAACACCAGTACACCTCATCACTGAGTGCGCCGAGACGACAACCATTCGTGCCATGAATTTTGGTACGACTGATATTGGAGATGGAGAACTACCCTCTATAAAACCGTCCCAGATACTGGCTTTTGTCAAAGCCCTGGGACTGTATGATGAGTTATGATTCAAGAAAGGGGGACACAATGGATCTGTAAGGTCGAAGTGATTAACCCCCCTAACACTCATTCTAAATTCTAAATTCTAAAAAACATTCCTTCAAGAAAGACTAACCTGGCAGCGATCTTATAAATATAAATGGGTCAAAAACCGGTGACGGAACAGGAGCTGGAGTATTTAGGAAAAGACCAATTAATATAGTTAGGGTTAATACTTAACTCTATTCCAGATAGAAATCTTCGTCATTCTACATTACGAGAGAGGAAGTAAGAGAAGAGCTTACTCAGGTAAGTACATCAATATATGCTCAGACTGTCAAGCGGTACTTAAGGCACTTATGCGCCCAAAGGTATCGTCGTGACTCGGCTGAAAATACCTGGATGAATTTAAAACTCTGACAAAAAGAAACAGAGTTAAACTATTCTAGGTCGCAGAGGTATCAAAGGCAACAAAAAAAATGATGAATGAGTAAGGCAAGAAATATCGGAATGCTAGTCGAGAGTCAGTCCTGGAACTACTCAAATATATGACCCGTGGTGTAGTAAAACTCTGGATCAGAAAAAAGCAGAATGTGGACTGGAGAAACAGACAGCGGGACAAGCATTGCAAAACCTTCATCCTAGGAAATAATTATAAAACCACAAAAGAACTACGAATGCTTAGCAGGAATAAACAACAGTGTGATGTCAGGTGCTACCTGAATAAGCTCAACCTGTATCAAGGAAGTCTTTGCTGCAGATCTTGCGATAAAGATCCTGAAACCGCACAGAATATGTCACTGAGATCGCAAGCGACTCTTTCTATTTGGGAAGGCAGGGCTAGAACAAGAGGAACAGGGATAAGAGATTGGGTGTAAACAATAGAAAAGGGACAAACACAATAAGTCTTAGAGGTCACAGTGTTTCCTGCACGGACGTCCCTTAATATTGAAAAAAAATCGGATGAAGTAAGGTAAGCAAGTGAGATATTACCATAATAATGGTGGAATTATGCAGAATTATCTTCTTAACAAAATAATCCAGAACATTCTAATGCATAGCTGGAAAATGGCTAATTCCTCAACTCACCAACATATTGCTCAAACGCTCCCCCTTCGTTTGAATTAAATCCTATAAGTGTAGAGACACTGTTGTAATCTCCAGATTCCAATATTTCGTAACTTCGACCAGTAATAACAGCGTCTGAACTATCAGGTTCCTGGACCGGTCCAAATGGTAAACCCGCCAATATATTTCCGATTGCAAATGTCTAAAATGTATAAAAATTACATACAAATATGCCTACTATAGTCGGTAATAATAATACGGATGTTAAAAGCTAAGGTCCTAAATGAAAAAAATCCTGAAATTAAGAAATTGACGCTTATCAAGTTTTTCCCATTGACACTTCACTTGGTAAATGGAGTTATAGTTAGTTTTATACAATACGATAAAATGATATTTTAACATCGACCGAAAAGATTAATTTCGGGAGACTATAATTTCAAGGAATTTATTACGAGTAGAAAAAATGGGCTGGGTTGGCGTTGGTTTCTATGTAGTTTGACATATAAATAAAGCTGTCTCTTTAGTTGTCAGTTTTGAGTCAATATTTTTTAATTCTGTTTCGTGTCGATTGCTGATTGAATTGCTGATTGAATTGCTGAGAAATGGCTCAAAACATATCCAAACTACTTCCATTTAAATTCCGAATAACTTATGAAAAGGAATACAAATATTTTCAAAAATGGAAGCAATTAAAAAACGTGCAAGAAATAATAAAGTTTTTAACTTATGCTCGCTGTCAAAGTTTCATTTAATCTACTCTTGCGGTTAAAGTACTATTTTATCTACTATTTTTGATAGATATAAAGCAATTTTAACAGTTGCTATGGAAAAAAAATATAAAACTCACCGCTATAGTCACTGTATTTTCAGCTACTTTTAACTTTTTATAGTCCACTTCTCGCAATGCATCTAACAAAGTTTGGGAATCGGTTGTAATGACTCCAACCTGAGTGCCAACAAAAAACGCCTTATTTTCTGCTTCTCGCGTTAGAGCCCAGAGACACAAACTGGAAGAGCTTTCCATTATAGCTCTAGTAAACAAACCTAAAATAAATCTAGATTAAACTTTATTATTACACAGTGTGGTAAAAGCACAAATATGAAAAAATTAATGATGTTTTTCATTCGGCAGAGGTACCCAATAAAATGTTTCAATTTTATTTAAAAGATACTTCAACTTTCTCCATGCGGAAATATTCATCAAATTTTTGAGGGTGAGTTGTGAGTTGTGGATATAACGTATGATATTTTTATCAAATAAAATAAAAATTTAACAAATTTAAAATGAGACCGATTAATTTCATAAACGCGAGTAGTACTTTTTTGTATCAGTTTAAAATAATTATTATTAGCAAGTAAAATTTTAAGGAAAAATATCATGCATTCCACAATACTATGACAAACCAATTTGTAGATTATGTAGATATACTATTTTTAATTTTAAAACAACCAAAATACCTTCAGTTAAGTTCATGTTGATCGCATAAAAAAATATTGAAACAAAAAAAAAAAAAAAAAAATAAAATATTGTAATATTTTTCAGGGAGATATCCTCCAGCGAAATATTCTATATTTTCCTTAACCCATTTCAAAGCTAGTACTTGATCTTTCAGTCCCCAGTTTCCTGGTATAACATCATCCTCGGTACTAATAAAAATCACTTAACATAAAAATTTGCTTGGGCCACCAAGGTAAGGTGTCTAATTATAAAAATCAAATACTCTAATCTATAATTGAACGATACAAAAACAACATCATTATCAAGAAAATAATCGGGCTGTCCTGTTCTCCAAAACTATCGAAATATATTTACTCAAAGCTTAGTATTATGCAAAGTGATCTGAAAGGCAGTCAAAAATGTAATAATATACAGGGTGTTCCATTTAAAAAAGATTAATCCGATACACTCACACTTTTTTGAGCCACCCTGTAGAAGTTAAAATATTTTTCTGAAATACATCCTAGTGCATACTTTAGGTTTGCACCTAAACAAAATTCCCAAATTTTTTATTCTAGGAGTTATAGTCACTAAAACTGCTCGAATTAATTGAGAATTTATCTAAAATTCTATCGTATAAAAACATTAATTTTAATCGGATATAAAACACAGTAAGTTAAAACCCCCCAGTGTCGAATAAATATTTTAACTATCGACGGGAAATTAGAAATTATATCGAGGATTTATAAGGCGGGTATATTTTGATTTAGCAACTCGCGCTGCCGATAAACGCGCCAATTTCCAAAAACCTACCCCAGTATTTTACAATATCGCGACTGCTATATCGGATAGAATACCTGCGGAATACAAATTACGTAAATATGGAAATTTTCTTTGTTTTTTTTTGCGATACCGATGAGGTGCAGAATTATAATTTTCACGGAAGACAATAGAATATTAATGAAATCAGAAACTCCGGCCTATTTTTCAAAGTAAACAAAGATATTTTATGAACTAAAATGTGAAACTCTCATGAATATAAAATAAGCCTTATTGTATGAGTCAACGTATCCTGAATTTATTTAGTATCTCGAAAAATTCTCAATTAAAAATTAAACGAAGCAACTTATTTATTAATATTAAATTAAATTTTACAATATAAAATGTATACAGGGTCCGGCAATACTGCATCGGGCACCTGTAGGGAATTTTGTTTAAGTGAAAACTTAAAGTATGTACTAGGATGTATATCAGGAAACTATTTTAACTTCTACAGAGTGGTCCAAAAAAGTGTGAGTGGATCAGGATGATTTTTTTTTAAATGAGTCACCCTGTATATTATTACATTTTTGGTGTTTTTTCAGATCACTTTACATAATCCTAAGATATGAATATATTTCGGTAGTTTCAGAGATATTAATAAATAAATAAAAAATATATATTTTACAGCTTTACTTAAAAAAATTATTAAAAATACAAGAACTGTCCTGAAATCCAAACTATATTAGGTATTTACTTTAGATGGTCTGTAATTACTTTGCTATAAATATCGTAGTCTTAAATCATACAGGGTGTTCAATATTCTAGACCAAATTTTCTAAAATATGAAATATTTTTCTTCGGTATTTTAAATGGAACACCCTGTATATTATTTTTTAATAGATTGATAATAAAAAAATGAACATTTTTTTGTATTTAGTGTATTTCAAAATTTTTAACGGTTTCGCAAATACTCGCGGTATTATTTTATCGGTAAAACTTTCAACGGTAAAATACACGAGAAAAATCATAGGGTGGCTTTGATAAAAATTTACTGTCGAAAATACCATATGAAATATAAAACTGCAAATATCTGCGAAACCGTTAAAATTTTAAAATAGTTTAAATACAAAAAAATGGTAATTTTTAAATTCTTCATCTATAAAAAAATAATATACAGGGTGTTCCATTTAAAATAATTAAGAAAAATTATTTTATGTTTTAGAAAATTTGGCGTAGAATTTTAAACACTCTGTATGATTTAAGATTCCGATGTTTATAGCAAAGTTAAGTGCAGACCTTCTAAAGTAAATACCTGATGTAGTTTCGATTTCAGAATAGTGCTTGTATTTTAAATATTTTTTTTATAAAGGCTGAGAAATATATATTTTTTATTTATTTATTAATATCTCCAAAACTATTTAAATATATTTAATATTTACTCATATCTTAGGATTATGTAAAGTGATCAGAAAGGAAGATAAAAATGCAATAATATACAGTGTCTTCCATTTAAAAACGTCATTCCCATCCACTCACACTTTTTAATCTATCCTATAGAAGTTAAAATATTTTCCTAAAAATTAAAAATTCCACACCTGTAATTTGTAACCAACCAAAACGTGTTTTTTTGACAAATTACCATGGCAACGGATATAAATTTTAGTGAAAATATTTTCCTTGTGCGCACCCAACAGCGAATTATATTGGAAATTGTTTGACGTTTATAATGACAAAATATCTTTTTGAGTCTGGTTTTTATTTGTTTACATGATAATTTTGATACATTTCAATTACAAAGCTGAGATGTTTTCTATATTCTTTGGACACCTCCTTTCTTCATAATGGCGAAAATGTAGGATTTGGAATGGACTGAATTAAATGTCTCTGTCTAATGAAATATATATAATATTTACACACTATTTTATTCACCTTTTTTTCCATTTAGTACTTTGAATTTTGAGTAGTTTAGATGCAAATATTCGTGAACAATTCAAAACAAATTTTCTTTCAAGTAGGAGCCACAATCCTCTATTAATGCGGGCAAATAAGTCATCGCACGATGATTGATCATTACATCAGACAATTTCACGCATATTTTGCATGTAGTATGATTTTCAAACCGAACCATTTTTAAAACAAAGAATTTCGTTGGTTTTTCAAGCTGCACAATATTCTTTATTATAACAAAACGCGAGTTTTTCTGATATTTTGAAATGTCAAAATACGATGATTATGTCTTTATATTATGCCTTTTATGATTGACGCTGCGCGCAGGTTATGAATTCCGGACCAATAAAGCGTTTATGAAACGTTAATAAAAATGCAAAAAAATCAATTTTCTACCACTTGTAGTTACTCAAAACTTATGTAAAATTAAAGAATATATTGTGTTGTGTCTTGAGATCGTATTTTCGTGCAACTACAACGAGTAGAAGCCAATAATTTAAAGGTCTAAATTGCTGCCAAAACTGCGACGCGCTGTAAATCTGTTCATGCAGCGTTCCGAAAAACCTTTTAAATTTTGATTTTCTACCGCTTGTAGTAAGCCGGAAATTTGACCTCTAGTGGTATTACTAGTGAATACATCCTAGTACATACTTTAAGTTTGCACTTAAACAAAATTCCCAAGTTTTTGTTCTAGGAGCTACAGATGCCCGACGCACTCTTGCCGGACTCTTTATAAAATTAAATACATCTGTAACCCAGAAACTTAGTTAAGAAGTTAAGTCACAAAACATAGTTTCGAGAGAAACGAATTTAAAGTTTTGTTTAGCTCAGGGCCGGCATTGGACTTAATTTGATTTTAAACAGAGTATTTTATTTATTCCTACAGATAGCGTAAAACGAGAAAGAGCAAAGAATAGAGCATAAAAAGTTAAGTAACCTGAAGTATATAACTCAAATATGGCAATTTTAAACTTAACATAGTTTACTTTTGTTACAAATCGCTGACTTTTTTGGATATATGTCACTTGTCATTAATTAATTGATTATTTGAATTCTCAGGATTTTGTTAACAAAATTTACATTTAAAAATAAAATTTCAATCAATCGCAATTGTTTATCTCCATCATTTACCGGATTAATAATACAGAAATCACATGGCAATACATCATCTGACTATAGCTCCAGAAAAAAACCGAAGCTGTACTTTTGACCAGAAAACGAAAGATAGGACCCATTGCCTTCAGCTTAGAAGGCTTATCCGTTAACCTAAGCAATGCTGTAAGATATATCTTGGAGTATGGATGGACACGAAATTAACATTTGCTGAACATATATCGGCTGTCATTCTTAAAGCAGAAAAAACTCTAAGAGCATTATCTGGTCTGATGGCAAATATAGGCAGTCCAAGATCCTCAAAACGAAAATTATACTCGAGCGTGGTTCATTCCCAAGTCCTCTATGGATCTCCAGCATGGTTTATGGTAACTTCCAATAAAGTGGCTAAGAAAGCAAGTGGCAAGAAAAATGGGACTCAACAACTAGCTTTGCTACAGCTCGATGGACCCATTTTCTGATTCCGGATATAGAGGTATGGATTAACACTTTTTATTTGTAGCAGATGGGAAGGGCAAAGAAGACTATTCTGCACGGAAACTGGAAAAGTTTTTAACCCGACAAATATGATGGAGTCCTTTAATGACCAAAGAAATGTGGGACCTGGGTTATAAAACTATAAGACAGATTATTGAAACCAAAGAGCGAGAACATAGACTGAATAAAGCCATCCGGACCATATCTATCCCTCCATAAAACTTATCTGTGATATTCTTCTTCTTCCTGTGCCTTGTGCTTAGCCGCACGTTGGCGATTGTCTGTACTCTTCATACAATGTGTAGACTGCCGTTTTCGGCTCTTCGAAATATGGTGGCTGCGTCGCTGATGTTACACCAATCCCGTATGTTTCTTAGCCAGGAATGTTGTTTTCTTCCTGGGCCTCGCCGTCAGAGCGTGTTGATGTAATGCGAGCGGTTTCCGATGCGCTTTTTTTTCTATTTTCGGAGGGAAGTTTTAGTCGGTAGGCGGGCACTGATGTGTTCGAATCCGACACACGCCGGCCTTTAGAACACCAGGTCGGTAAGGTCTTTTGAAGATTTTGTACCCCTCAAAAAAAAAATACAGAAATGACAGTTCAGTTACAAACAATTCATTATTTCTAGTGATTTACAGTCATTTTATTAAATTAGACGAATATTCTCGTTGATCATTGGTTAGGTTAGGTTAGGTTAGGTTAGGTTGTCCTCCAATGAAAATGCGTCTTACTAACTCTAA